CATCAGCAATAAAAGGAATGAACTTGTGACACACATAACTTGGATGAATTTCTGGGAATTGTGCTGAGTGGGGTGGGGAAAAGGTTCTCCAAAGCTTATATACTTTCTGATTCTATTTACATAATATTTTTGAAATGATAAAGTTTTAGAATTTTGAGGACAGATTAATGGCTGCCAGAGAAGAGGGTGGGCAGGAGAGAAGTGTATGTGATTATTAAGGGTAACACAAGACATCTTTATGGTGTCGGGGCTGTATCTCACCTCTTGTGGGAGATATGGGAACCTACATGTGATAAATACTACCAATTTTGTGTGTGCGTGCTGAGGACTGAACCTAAGGCCTGTACATGCTAAGCACACACTTGACCTCTGAGCTACACCCTAAGCCCCTATGTCTATAGATTTTAATACACACACACACACACACACACACACACAAATACAAGTAAACTGGAGAAATCTGAATAAGATCAGTAGGCTGTATCAATATCCATTTCCAGGTTATGATATTATACTACAGTTTTGGAAATTTTTATCATTGGAGGAAACTGAGCAAACTTGGAGGAAACAGGGCCATCTCAGTTTCCTCATCTTATTCCTTACAACTGCACATGAATGTACAGTTATCTCAATAAAATTTTCAATTAAAAACAGGTTTAAAACCATTTGCAGCCAGCCCTCCAGAAATCTTTAATATGAGGGAAAAAGACAGGTGTTAAGAAGGTAAGTAATAAACAAACTCAGGTCTCAAGCCACTATCCTATACAGTTCTCCCACCTTATCCATGGGGGGATACATTCAAGGACTTTTAATGGATGCCTAAAGCCATAGGTAGTACCTAACCTTATCATTTAATACCTTTTCTATCATAACTAAATATTTATCATGCACTGTAGCTATAACTTTTGCAACGTGATGTGCAATAGCAAAACTAGTACAGAATTTCTTTCTCCTTCACAATTTAACAGATAGAATATTCATTCTTACCATAGATTTAAGCAACCTCAGCATGTGGGGGTTTTTTTCTTTCATTATTGAGAACTTTCACATTTTCAGTTAAAGGAAGAATTTACAGCTTTTCTTTGGCCCATCTCAATTTCCAGTATCACTATTGTACTTCAAGTAAAATAATGGTTACTTGAACATAAGCATTGCAATACTGTGACAGTCAATCTGACAACCAAGATACCTACAAGTGACTATTGGGTGGGTAGCACATACAATGTGGATACTCTGAATAAAGGGATGATTCATGAGTCACGTACAACAAAACTGTTGGTACAAGATTTCATGACATTGCTCACAATGGTGCAAAATTTAAAATTTATGAATTGCTTATTTCCAAAACCACAGGAAGCAAAACTGTAAAGAAGAGATGGAAGAATGAAAACAAGAATGCCATGAGTTTCTCTGAAGGAAAAAATCACAGTTAGGGATGAGGAAAGCAGCTTCAAGGGCTTGGGCCTCCATGCACCAGGAGGGCTGAGCCAAAAATAAGCGGGCAGGTATTCCAGACCAGAAAATGTACTACATGTACCAGCTTGTATGCTTGCTTTGCCTCCCAGAAATAGACAAAATGAAAATGGTAGAAGGTCTTGCGTGCTGGATGAATGTGATAAGACCTTTCTGGGTCCAATTAGCAATTTGTGAGATAATAAAGCAGGACTAACGCCAAGTGAATCACCAGAAGGGAAATTCAAAGTGTGGATGGTTTAGAACCAATTCTTTCCCAGAGCCAAGGGAAGTACATCCTATTAGTAAGAGGTTGGCAGCAGCATTTGTATGTGAGGGCCATCAAAGAATGTGTTCAGGAAAATAAAGGCTGTCTGGTGGTTCAGATCAGTGATGATTAGAATTGCAATAACTAGGCATTTAATCTTGTATTACATGGCTTCAATGATTGAGAAGCCATTATGTGGCAGTCACTATTCCAGGGGGTTGGAATTTATTGATGGCAAACTACACCGAGCAAATTACCTCCCAGATGGGGTTCACCTTCTATACTTAGGGCTGATTCCTGGTCAGAGAGATTCTTAACATTTCCACACTGTACATTTGCCATCTCATGACCACAAACAGAAAAGCAAAGCTCTCTGGGGTGAAGCTGGGAAGAAGGACAGACACAGCACTTCTGACTTAAGAGTGAGAATGATCTTACCCCAGGGTGACTGGAGAAGGAAACTTAAGATGGGCAGATTGGCAGGCCTTGCCTCTGAGTTGAATCAGGAAAGTGAGCTCAAAACCAAGGTGAAAAGTTGGCAGTGTGACCCTTGAAGAGAATTCAAGTTAGCCTGGGGTACCCTCTCTGTTTTCCACTCCCAAACTAGGATTAACTTTGGAATCTTCCATAAATGTAGAAAAACTGGGGGCTTTCCAATCCTAGCTTGGGTAAGTACTATTTCAAGACTAATCATAACAAGATGGCCTTGTGTTGTAAAAGAGAGAAAGAAAGAGAGGGGGACATAAAGAGATACCTAGAGACAATGTTTAGGCAGGAGATATTCTGCAAGATAGCCTTGTTCATAAAACAGAAAACTAGAGACATGGAATTTTCCTCAGAAAGCTAAAAGCAATATGCAGATGAAGATACAAAAATCTAAGCTGCTGGTCACTTTCTACAAAAAGACAACTCAAGGTAAGTGAATCAGGCAAGACTCAAGAGTGGGAAGATTTATTAATATTATCCCTAACCCAGGATTTTTAATCATTTAAAGTTTTTAGGTGCTCACAAGCCTCAAATGTCTTGAGAATAAGTATATAAAATGTCTTTGGATTTAGTTACAGAAGATTCACCAATATATTTTTTTTCCTGAACAGTATTCTAAAAAGTTTCGTTTAATTCCCAGTGAACCCCACATTTCTGTGTCACATTTGAAATTATAATCAGCCATGTTCTATCACTTTAGCCACATTTTGTAGAGTGAAAGAAATACAGACATCTCCTATAATTAAATACTCAACATTTTTGCATGGGCAAAGGAATCTGCATTTTCAAATATGCCAGTCCTCTGGCAAAATTTTCCTGCTTCGGTCCAGGGAAAATAATGCTACAGGCACAAAGATCCCTTTTTAGCTTAAGGCTGTGCAGGACTGCTCTTGAATGTCCAGCTTCCATTCAAGTTTCTGGCTGTCCCTTGAGTGAGAGGTCAGCCTGCTACTGACCACTGCAAGGTGAGACTCAGTCTCATTGCCTGTAGAAAATGCAAAACTCTTTGGTTGGCTTTCTGACTAGCAATGTCCTCAGTTTGGAGATAATTGCCTTTAGTCATACCACAAAGCACAGGTCAAGGTAGGATGGATGTGAAGTCATGAATGTGTATGTGAGTGTGAGCAAGAGTTCCATAAGAACTTCCATAGAGACATGGCCCATTTTATTTAGCTGTATTGCCAGTAAAGAAGCCTGCTAGTCAAAGGTGCTCTTCACCCCAGAATTCAGTTAAAGCCACAACCTGAGAATAATAACAGAGGTTCTTTCCTGCTGCTCCTTAAAATCTTCCACAGTTGGAGGAGGGAGATATTGCCTCCCTTAGCGATGAATCTAAAACTGCCTTTGTCAATAGCCCTTTCTATTCTGTTTCTGAGCCACTTTATCTTTCCCCCAACCTATAGTAATAAAACTGATTTGTCCAATGAAGCACACTAAAAATGGACAAGCAACTGCAAAAAGGCATCTTAGCTGAGCAAGGAATTTGAGCAAGCAAGAATTTGAGCTGAGCAAGAATTTCTGAACAGAAATGGAAATGCTGTGTGACATGAAAAGGTTAATGCTGCTGCTTTATTTTGTATTAGTATTAGACCAGCCACCTCTGTAAACTTATCTCGGGCATGAATCTGGGGTCACTGGTGTGTGCTGCTAAGTGGCATGCTTAAAGAACTAAATAGGATCAAGCTGGCTTGCATGAAAAGAAAAAAAAAAGTAGAAATGTGGCTTTTATCTGGCTAATTTGACCAGCAGACAGAACGATTGGCTCAGTCAAAGCTACCTTGGAACTGGAGATTTGTAGACTGGCTGTTTTAATACAGGATCTTTAGAAAGCTGTGTATAAATTTTTGTTGTTTCACAGAGAGTTCAGTAATTTGCATTAGGTAATATTTTGTCTTCTACAAATATAAGGCCAGATTCCTACTATAAGTCTGGGGGGAGAGGAAACATGAAGAATAGCCAAAATAATTGATAAATTACTTTTTAAAGGTATTTATTTACAAAAGTCAAATTTTGGCCACAGTGCAGCACCAGTCCAAAGTCCACTTGGAAATCTTTAATATGTAAAATACGAGTGGCTTTCCAGCATAGCATTCTTTGTACATTAATTATTTTTATGAATGTAATTTTGTCTCTTTTAAAATCATCCTAAATCAAAATTAGGGGGAGAATGAATTTTCTTCCTGGCAGTGTGTTTTCTTGGCATCTTTTATACTTTGTGGACTAATAAAATCAAAATAATACAAACATCCGATCAAAACCATCCCACCAGCAAGGCAAAATCAACTTTGTCTCCTTTCTCCAGCATCACCAAATAAACCCTGCAGACACACTGAAATCCTTACATTTGTACTATGAATTCTGATTAAAATCAAAACCTACCAATTTCAAAATAGATCCCCCCAAAGAAGTGGTTTTCCCCCTATAAAGCCTATGCCCCAAATCATTGCTTGAGAAACTTTCTGAATAGCAAACATTGCCTAGTAAAACACATGCAGTAGACAAAATATCAGATTTCTTTTTCCAGCTGTCCAGAATCCCATTAGTGCCTCTCACTTCTATCAGTCTTTTGCTATAATTAGGATGGCTCAGGGTTTATCTGGGCCTTTTTCAAAACCAGATTTCCTTCCTAGCAGCAGCAGCTGTCATTCACAAGTACCCTGATGGTCCTCGGAGACTTCTTTTGATTTACATTATGGTACAGCAATCGTGACTGTAAAGTGAAGGAAAGCGTGCACACACACACACACACACAAAACGCTGTTGACCTTGTAGATTTTAAAAAGAGGGTTCTTACCTGAGGATGATCACTCAGGTCTGGAACAACCTGGCTTGTTGTAAACAGGTTATTCTCCGGCATCCCTTCTCCTTCCAAGTTTGTAGCCCCTTCCTTGGGGAGAGAGTCTGCTGAAGGTGGAAGGGCTCTCGCGTCTTGCGCTGCCTCTGGTGAAATTGCACATTCTCCTGTGTGGAGGTGGGAATCCCCACCAGGAGCTGCTGCTTTGGCCCGGGGAGTCTCTCTGTGACGGCTCCACACTGGTGGGTGCCTGATGGGTTCCTTGGGAGGGGAAGCGAGGGTGCCTCCTGCTGCACTTTCTTTGGGGGTCAGCTTCTTGGCTTTACCCTTCGCCCCCGCTCGCTGCACCCTGGCAGGTGTCCGGATGCCCTTCCTGCTGCCTAAGTCCCTCTCCTCTCCTCTTTCTTCGACCGCAATCTCCAAACCCTGTTTCATCCCTGACTTTTCCAACCCCCCAGACGAGGGCTTCACCTCTGTCTCTGTCACCGCTTCATCCATGGTTAGCAGATTGTCACTGGCAAATTCCTCTCCTGCTTGGTGGCTATCTCTGGTTTCTCCTTGAATTCCTGGATAATCATTTTCAGCAGCCTCAGGCAGTGTGGGGAGTGGACATCTCCCCTGTTCACTCACTAAAGCTGTCCTATCCTGGTGAGGTTCCAAAGCAAGAGTTCTCCCTGTTCGCAGGGATGAGGGACTGTGCCTGGAGGCTCCGCTGCTCTTGATCTCCACTTCTTGGAGTTGTGAGTGATAACCACAGAAGCCAGTGGTGGCATCCATAGGCCCTGTGTTACCCGACACCCGAGGCCCACAACCCATTTCACTGAGGAAATGCTCACGCCCACCCAGGCCACACTCACTGAATTCCGTCTCTTCGTCATCGCTTTCTAATAAAAAAACATGCTCAGTCCCCTGCAGGTTCCTTTGCCAAACTGCATTAGTGTAATCTGTCATAACATCGGAACATTCCAGATACTCCAGGTCATCATCTGAAAACTCCTCCGGGCAGGTTAGGGTTATCTCTGGGCAAAGTTCATAGTCACTGTCGGAGTCTTCGCTGGAAACCTCGGGACTGGGTTGCTTGTTGACCGGGGCGCTGTTCCCTGGGTAAATGCATGCAATCGCCTTTGAGAGTGGAAGGCTGAAGCTGATGTATTTCTGTGCTTTGGGGTTTTTTTGAGTAGAGGTTAAGATCTCATCATTAGGGGCATCACTGTTTAGACCTCCATGCGTTGGCTGGGAGACCAAGGAACACTCTGTTCTGTGGCAACATACATCTTGTTTTTGAGGAGTATTATTTGAATTGAGGAAAATTTCTCCTGTGCTCTTTGGATCATAAGCCTCTGCAGTTTGCCTTGTTCCTTTAGTATCCGGAGCATTTTCAGAGCTGGATGCACTAATATCATTATTGGCCAATAACTGGGGTGAGCATAAGTGGTCGAATTTGAAGGAGGAAGAATCGGCTGGTGTGGGAGCCCCTGCAGAGATGTTTCCTTCTTCCTTACAAAGGTGTTTGCTCTCATCAGTTTGGTTTGTGCTTTTCTCCTCATTTGTCTCTTGTATGTCACATTTCCACCCTGTGTCCCTGTCATCTCCCAGGTCAGGAGGGGGTCGTGGGTTCTCTATTGGACACTCGACCTCAATGGTAGCAGAGCAGCAGATCATCCCCGCAGAGCTTTTGGCTGAGATTTGGTAAACGGCAGCATCGCTTTTGGTACAGCTAGGATGAAGAGAACACACAGGTAAGTGTGGATACGCACGCCAATGTTTTACACGTCATGGTGCACAAGGAAATAGCTGTCCTTTTACTACATGCTCAGAGAGATCTGTGGTATCCCTGGAAAAGGGGATTGTGGTCAGCTGCCCCTAGTGCTGAAATCCTGGGAAGTTCAGCATTTCCCCTTACGGCTTTCCACAATCTCACCCTAAATTGAAAATGCCAATGATTACTTGGATAAATAGAGGAAATATTTTAGTTTCTCTTTCTCCCCCTTTAAGTCAGTTTTGTGTTGTAGGAATTTCAAAGAGCAATATTTCTTTCTGGAGGGAGACATTGTACACAAGTAACTGAAGTATCGTACCTCATGTGGTGGAACATAGTCAACAGTAACTGCTTTTAAGACCACGCTGAAGGAGTGTAAAGACAGCACCACAACAGGATTGTGTATGAAGGGCAGTGCCATTTCCTCCTTAATTTAACACGACTAAAGCCTGACACCCATTGGCTGGAAACCTATATCCACATGTCATCCCAACTAACATAGATCAAGCCAGGTGCTTGGTTTTGGCCCAGCAGGGAAGAAAAGAATCCTGAATCAGACTGAGCCTGCTCTCCCTGTTCCAAGAGGAACAGTGCTCCTGTGGCTCCTCTATTGAATAGGGCCACAATGAGTTGGAGACTGGAGTGCTTTACTGCCTCATTTCCTGCCAGGATCTTTTCCCAGGCTTTGCAGTCCCAAGAAATCTCATTATATCTGTATACGTTGCATTCTTGCTTCTCTTGCATTTGACATCATTGTGATATTGCCGACTTCCCTCTATGTGTCATTTGGCTCAGAAGTCAACAAGCATTTTCAGAAGGCAAGAGCTGTAGGTCTCACTTGGACTTAGAGCAATGTTTAGATCTTCATTGATGATTCCCTGTGTAAAAGAGGCACAGATGTCTAACTCGGAGGATGGGGAGTGGTGGTCAATGTTAGACACAGAAACTCTAACTCTTTCTACCACATACTTTCTGTTCTTCACTGGAGGGAGCCCTCGGCCTTCTCAGACCCATACATGCGCATAAGCTTTAATTCACCAGGTACCTATTCACATGGGCCTTGTTTTGAGAAATCAGAGATCAGTTCCAATGTCAATAATGTTCAAAGGAGTGAAAGGAGGACACACCACTGTGGGTCAGGCTTGGACATGACCCAGAGCTGATATCTGGCTCTGCCCTGGCCAACAGCTCAAGAATTCTGAAATTTAAGACAACTTTCTGAAGGAAACAGTACCTGTTCCTATCCATTTTGCAAACTTATTCAGGTTTGAATGGGAAAATCAGGGTGAAGGAGCTTCATAAAGCCAAAACTTCACACCAAATGTGTTCTCCAAAAATATGGAAGTGCCAGGCAACCCCTGGCTCTTAAGAAACATACGGAAGAATCATCCCAACACGCTACTGGAAATTCTTAGATCAGAGTCCCTGGTTGAGGAACTGTGCACATGTTTTTAAAGATCTGGAGCCATTCTAGAACACATGGTCCTCGGCCATGCTCAGAGCTGTCCGCATCCTCATCCTCCTTGACTGGGCTTAGGTCTCCTGGTGAAAGCTGAATGTTTAGCTGAAGAAGAGGGACTTTTGCTGCAGTTTCACATTGCTGACGTCACTCCCTTCAGGAACTTTGTCAATTAATTATTGGGGTTTTAGCCCTTAATTAAGAGTTTATAGGGAGCATAAAAGAACACCATGGACTACTGGAAAATCCCAAACAATTCAGATTTTCTGACCCATTTAGCCCATGCAACCGCTGCCACAGAAACCACCTACCCTGAGGCTACCTACCCATGACTTGGGTGGAAAGAAAAGGAAAAAAAGAAAGTAAGACTGAGAGGCTCAAAGGGCCAATTAAGAAACAAGAGGAAGAGAGATGATTCCCAAGACTAAAGGAGAGACAATAAAAAGAGTTTTAGAAAAATGTGGAGAAAATAATTAAGTATATTCAACTTAATGACTAACAAGAGGTTATCATGACTTAGTCATTAATAATTTTATGACCCATGTGTTTTAGTTGATATAGGATTTATAATCCCTCCTAGGTATACTAAGTAAAGAGGAAAAGGAACTGGATTAAGCATAATTAACTTCTTACTGGTAAATGAAGGCCTTTGAGTTATGCTTTGCAGTTGACACATCCTTGATAATTATCACTAAGTAGCTTATAAAAGAGGAGGAGAAAATTGGGAAAGGATTCCAATGTCTGCTGAGCGCCTTCTATGTTAAACTTCTATGTGTTTTAGTCAGCTTTTTTTATTTATCACTGTGGCCAAAAGACCTGACCAGAACAACATAGAGGAGGAAAAGTTTATTTTGTCTCATGGTTTCAGAGGTCTCAGTCCATAAGACGGCCAACGCCATAGCTCTAGGTCTGAGTTGAAGCAGTACATCACGACAAAGAGCATGGTGGGTGGGGTGGGGGAGCAGCTCAGGACATGTCCACAGGAAGCAGAGAGAGAAAAAGCTCTGCTCAACCGGAGACAAAATATAAATCCCAAAGGCACACCCCCAGTGACCTCCAATCACACCTCACCTGCCTGCAGTCACCACCTACTTCATCCATATCAGTGGATTAATCCACTGACTGAGTTAGGACTCTCAATCTAATCTTTCCACCTCTGAAAATTCTTGCATTGTCTTACACACAAACTTCTGGGGACACCTCATATTTAAACCATAACACAGTGTCGAGCTATTCCCTGTGGGCAAAACAGAGGCTCAAAGGAGTGAAGCAACTTCCCCCAAATGACAAAGCTGGGGAGTGGTAAAACTGGAATAAAAAAGCAGACTTCGGATTCCAATGCCTGGCGCTGCGTGTGCTGTTAGACAACTACGTTCAGAGAAGGAAACAGTGGGATGCAGAGGTCACTGTGCAAAGGAAGAGTCTCTGTCTCAAGCCTTTGCCTTGATCAATTGGCCAACATGAGCAGGGGATGTGCTAATGCTGAGCACTGTTAATTACTGAGAAGCCAAGGAGGTGTGTGAGAAATTCTCAGAGAGTATTGTGGGTCACTTCTGTGCTCAGCTGTACAGTCCACACTGGAAAGAGAAGAGACTCACAGAAGAGACTTCAGTGGGAACGGCTAAGACGATAGGGGATAAGGGGGAGTATAGAATCTTTGTAAGATGCTGGCAGAGAGACATGTGTGCCTCACAGTGATTTCACAGGAATACAAAGCCGCCCCAGAAGAAATTCCCTCAACCAGTGAGTTCCCTCTTTGCCTATCTTTTCTTTGGGTTAAAGGACGTAATATCATTTCTCCACCATGTTCAGAAAGCCTACCTCAAGTTCTCTAGGTTCTTTCTAAAT